TTCTGCAGATTGTCATCGTCCAGTTCGGCGGGAAGCCCTTCAGCTGCTCCCCGCTGTCCACGGAACAGTGGCTGTGGTGCCTGTTTGTTGGCGTCGGGGAGCTGGTCTGGGGACAGGTGAGTGTCGCGTGCTCAGCTCTCTCAGCCCCACCCTGTTCAGGCATGCTCCGCAGATGGTGGGTGACATGCCCAGGGCCCACGTGGGAGAGAGAGCACAGGGCGGGTTCGGCCGGGGCAGGGGGCGGCAAAGCAGCAAGGGACAGCACGGGCAGACAGAACCCACTGCTCCCCTTTCCAAGATAGAAGCCAAAAATCGCTCGGGCTGCCATAGAAAACACCGTGGCGTGAGCAGCTTCCACCATAGTGGAACCATGTTTACGATCCTACAAGCCCAAAGTGGCAGCACGTGGGTTCCCAGGGAGGCCCCGCTGCTCTGGCACGAATGCCCTGTGCCAGTGGCCTACCCCGATGGCTCCGTTTAATCTCGCTTATTTCCTGACTGCCAGTAGGGCAGCGCGGGATCTGCCCTCCCCAGCTGTCTGTCTCCTGAGCGCCCCTCCCTCCCAGCCCAGCGTCCAGGGCACAGGCCCATTGTCCCCCAGGACTGTCCCTCTCCAAGGGGGACCAGGAATGAGCTTGCGACGGTGCCTGACTCTCCTGCAGGCGATGTGGGGGGCAACAGGGAAGCTCACAGCGCTGTGCTGTCGGCGGGCTGTTCCCTGGGGCTCGGTCACTTGGGCGTGCACTGCACATGGCTGCCCTGGCGCTCGCCCTGCAGCGATTGAGCCGGCACCCTGAGGCCCAAGGCCCTACTGTAAAACATGCTGCCGGCGCAGACCTAGGGCCACTGGGAGGCCCCCAGTGAGCAACACTGCTCCCAGCTGGGGGTCTCAGGGGCTTACAGATCTCCTCCCAGGAGCCAGTCCTTACTGCCCTTTGGCTTATGAGGCTCAGTGGAAGAAGAGGGTGCCCTAGGCACTGGCAGGTGTCAGCCCTGGGCTCCCGAGACACCACCGCTGGCTCTTGGGAGAGAGCCCTCTGGCCCCGGGGAACACGCCGGCCTGTTTGCCGGGGTGTACTGCTCTGCGCTCCACATGACAGACAACAGCCTCGCACCCGGCACACACAGCCTCAGGGCTCCACAAAGGGACACAGAGACCAGGAAGCGGCCCCAGCTGGGTTTGCAGAGAACGGGACACCTCTATGTCTGCCCCCCACCCAGGTCATCGCCACCATTCCCACCAGCCAGCTCAAGTGCCTGAAGGAGGCAGGGCACGGGCCGGGGAAGGACGAGATGGCTGATGAGGAGCTGGCGGAGGGCGAAGAGGAGATTGACCACGCCGAGCGGGAGCTCCGCAGGGGTCAGATCCTGTGGTTCCGGGGCCTCAACCGGATCCAGACGCAGGTACGCCACTGCTGCCCGGCTCCCCTGCCCTTCAGCCGAGCAGGCCAGCCAGGAGCGGACAGCAGGCTGCGCCGCAGGCTCGTGGGCCGCTCGCTGCTCTCCCCGCGCCATCCCCAGGCGGCCCCGCCGGTGGCTGTGGCCTGGGCTCCCGTCTCCCTGACACCTCCCTCGGCGCAGGTGCCAGGGCAGGGTGTGTGCCAGCGCCTCGTGGCTGTCTTCCAGCGCCATCCCCTCACTTGGAGGGAACTTGCATGTGCTGGGCAAGTCAGCTCGTTGGGGAGAGACGCCCGTTCCAAGGAGCCCTTGGCGGCCTTCCTGGAAAGACTTCATTTGTGGGAAGTGGACTTTGTATTCAAGGCCCAGGCCCTCAGCTGGCCAGCTGGCCGCCGCGGCAGCCGGAAGTGGGCACTCCCAAAGGCTTCGCAAGGGCATGTGTGTCAAAGCCAGCCCCGCCGTCTCTTGCCCCTCTCTTCTCCTTGTCACTTCCCTTCTGCCCCATTGTGACCCCGCTGCTGCCTGACCTCTGCCGCCTCCTCCATTGTCGCTGCTCCCAGCCACCCTCCCGACGTGCTGTCGCACCCGCTCTCCCCGGCGGCTTGCTGTCCCCTCTGTGTCTTCACTCGCCTGACACTTACAGCTCTTGCTCGGCCTTAGCAGTGAGGGCGAGGCGCCCCTGCTGGGGGCCCTGCCTGAGCCCCAGCCCCACCACCCCATGGGACCCCCAGTCTAACTGCCCCGCAGTCACCTCTGGGTGACGCTTGGCTTGGCCCCTTCAACACCACCGCCTGCCCTGAGGCCCGTGGAGTCTCTCTCCATTGTGCCCAGGAAGCAGTGCAGGCTCTTGACCATGGCCTTGAAGCTCCCATCTCTAGGCGCTGCCCCAACCTCCCCACTCCACCATCTCTTGCGCTTTCTGCCTGCCCCGGGGTGGGTGCCCTCCTCCCACTCCAGCCTTTTGAAGCCTTCTCAGACTCCACTCCCTCCCGCCATCATGGGCTGCGTGTGCTCCCAGGGGCAACTTTCCCGAGGTTCGGTCCCCAGGCCCACCCCCGGAGACCAGGCTGCTGCGGACAGGCTCTGGGGAAGAGGAGAGGGGCGTGGCCTTCACAGCCAGGTGGCTGGAGGCTCCTCCCCTGAGTGCGGGTGCCCTGCAGTCTCTTCTGGGCCAAAATTAAGAGCAGGGCATCTGTAGGGCAGCAGCACTGGCATCTCCTCTAACGCACTCCCGGGTGCTCAGCCGTGCCTTCCGAGGACTCTGCCTCGGAGCCCTCCAGCCTCGCATACGGGCCCCTGGTGGCCTCCTCCGTGTGCTGTGCCCGGTTCTGCTGCAGAGCCCGTGCTGGGGACACAGCAGGACCTCGCTGCCCCAGCCCGAGGTGTTCTGTGTGTCTTGAGTCTTCCGTGTGCCTGTACAATGCAAGGACAAGTGGGTGGGCAGCTGGGGGTGTGGGGCTCCCAGTGCGCCTGACCGCCGGTGCCCATGTGCTCTACAAAGAAATGGGGCCCCTAGAGCAGGACGGCCCATGGTCATGCCCGTGTCCCCGCTGGCTGGCCCCTAGGAAACCACTCTGGATCCTGCCCGGCCCCTTGATCCGTGGCTGTCCAGTCTGACTTTGTCCCGTTGAGTCCACGGCGCTTCTCAGAGTGCTGAACCACTCGGTTGTCTCAGCTCAACTTTGTAAGAGCCTCAGCTCTCTCTGATTCCAAATCCCTGCTTGAGAAACCCAAATACAGCCTGGGTGCAGCCTCTCCGGTTGTCTGTAGGCCCCTAGCCAAGGCAAACAGTTTCTGGGCAGCTGTCCCAGCTTGGCAGATTTGGCGAAGCACAGAGCGGCTCCCCAGATGTCACAGGCTAAGGGAAGGCATTTCCTAACCTGCTACCTGCTTGCGCCCTCGTCCCATACTAACACGGCAGCGCGCACGCGGGAAGGGCCGGCACTCCGGGGTCAGAGTCCTCGGACCCAGAGCGGGAAGCTTCGTGAGCGCTGCCACTACGCTGCCCAGGAGAGGAGAGGGTGATGACGGCATGGGTTCACTGCTAACAGTTGTCCCATGGGGGCGCCAGATGGAGCCAGGCAGGAAAGACCTATGTCCCATCCCTTGTCGCTTTGGCCACACTGAGTCCTCTCTTGGCAGATACCTGTCTCATAGCCCAGAAACATCTACCTTAGGAGACCCCTCCCCCGCCCACAGACACACACACACACACACACACACAGAGACACAGACATGCCATCCGTCAGCACTCTGCCACTTCTGCCCGACACAAAGCCACCATGTCTGCTCAGCACCGAGGGCCTCAAGTCCTGGCCGTGACGTTCCCCTTGTCAGCAAGCCGGACACGCTGAGCAGCCTCTTCCATGGTACATCCGAGTTCGGCTTCTTCTCAGAAGCCCTGGACCCACTCAGACCCCAGCTGAACCTGCTCGCTGCCCGGCTCAGCTGGGAGCAGGTGGGCAGTATGCTCTGGGCTCCGGAAATGCATGCTGGCTTCGCTGCTCACGGTTGCTGGGACTTCTTTCCAGAAGCCACAGGTTACCCCCGACTGAGGCCATTCCAAAGAGGAGGCCGCCTGGAGTCCAGGGACATTGCTGTCCTGGTGGCGGACCCTTACTGGGGCCATGCAGCTGCCATTCCTCAGGACCCCGCTGCTTGCACCTGCCGCACCCCCAGGGCCCGCGTGATGGACGACAGTCCGCACATCAGTCAGAGGCTCTCCCCTGGGCCTCAGTGCCGCTTCCCTGTCGACTTCCAGGGTGGGGACCAAGCAAAAGTCCCCACAGCATCCGCAGCCTGCCGTAAGTCTCGGCAGGCAAAGCAGGCGCTTCGGAACGACCCCTCCCCCTCTTTCTGAAGCCCTTCTTCTGCCAGGGTTCCCTCGGGCACCTGGAATGAGCCACGGCAGCCAGTGGCTGCCCTCACAGTGAGAAGCCATAGATCCTCCACACTTGCGAGTAACAGAAAGGACAGCCGTGACCCCGCCCCCCATCCCAGACCCCGGCAGACCCCAGGGAGCCTCCTTTCTGATGGGAATGTGTCATATCCCTCAGGTGTGTTGGGGCGGAAAGAAAGGTTGGGAGCTACCGAAGTAGGATAACAAAGTGTTGCAAGATGCAGGTACTGAGCGACAAGTGGCAATATCGTGAATGCAAATGACTCTTTGTGCCATGTGCGCAGTGTGCCCGCTGGGTAACCCGGCCCCGCCCAATGGCGCCACCACTAACCATCTGCTCGTGGCCACAGCCCTGGCCAAAGCACCCTCGGCTCGCAGGGAGTGGGGCTGACCCCGATGGGGCTTTGCTGTCACGAAATGTGCCCAGTGTGGCCCCCCAGCCCTCGCGCAGCCCCGCCCCGCCGCCCGCCGGTGCGCGGACAACAGTGCAAGCCAACCTTTATCTCATTTTCTCTCCCACAGATGGAGGTAGTGAGTACCTTCAAGAGAAGCGGTTCATTTCAGGGTGCTGTGCGCCGGCGGTCTTCGGTCCTCAGCCAGCTCCATGACGTAACCAATCTTTGTACCCCCACTCACGTAATTCTCTCTGCTGCCAACCCCACCAGTGCTGCCGGGAGTGAGTCTTGAGTTCCCTTTTCTCGCATAAATGGCCTCTGTGGGGCAGACCAAGCCTTCCCAGCCCACCTTCTCTTTCTTCTAGTCTTGTCCTGGCGCTCAGCGTGCCTTTTGCGCTCTCTCTTGCCCGCCCCGGCCAGTCCTTGGCACCCAGACGGTGCGTCTCTTGGGAAATGCATTCAACCCGGGCCACGCACCTCCCGATCTTTGCTTGCTTTGGTTTTTTGGTTTGTGTTCAGCGCTCCTTCTTCCATTGGTTGGCCGGTGGCTCTTCACGAACGGGGGCCGCTTCGGCGGCGGCAGGCGGCTTCCGTGCTGAGAGGCAGGGCGGCCGCAGGCCCACAGCCGGGCCTTCCGGGGGCTGCAGCGGGACACAGGTGCCTTTCCGGAGTCTTCTGCAGCCGACCCCCTTGAGGGTAGTTTCCAAGGGATGGTGCTGTCACCTGTCCCCAGGCAGCTTCGGCGGCGGCGACCTCGCGCCTGCGGGCTCCCTAAGTGCTGCCTGCTCCGAGGCCTGAAGCACCAGAACTTAGCAGCGTCCAGAGACCCGGTGCGCGGCTCCCGCCTCGAGCCTGCTCTCTGCTGCGTGTCCATTTGTCCCCGGAGCTCCTTCGCTCTTCCCGAACAGGCCTCACCACTGAAAGGGCTTACCCGATCTGGGGCCTGCGCTCTCTCCTCCTCCTGCGGAGAAGCCGGGAGAAAGCCGTTCCCTCCCACGCATCCCACCGAACAGGTCTCGCCACGCCACGGGGATCACATGTGAGAGAGACCCCAAAGAGAAAGAAAGAGCGCTAGATCGCCGGCCCCGCCCCCCTCCCGGCTCCCCCAGCAGGAAAGAATCAGGGCAGACAGTAACCCTCGGCTGCTCCGTCTCTCCTCTGCTTCCAGTGAGGCCCGCGGCTCCTCTCCGTGAGCACTTAACCACGCCTTTCTCCGTCACAGACTCTTGGAGTTCCTTTTGCTTCATCTCTTTCCTTTTTTTGCTTTTCTTTCTTTTCCTTTCTTTTATTATTATTTTTTTTAGGAACTGGTGAAAGGTCCCCAGTGGGGGCACCCCTCCTCTTGCTTAAGCTCTCATTGGGGCCATTCTGTCCTTTTAAGAGGGGATGAGGAGCGGGCGACCTCACCCCCCAGGGAAGAGCGCACAGACACACGCCTCCTCCAAACCTCAGGCCACACTCACATCCGGCGCGCTCACACGCCCCCTGGGCCGCAAGCACTGGCCGGCACTCCCGGGGCACCCAGACAGGGGTTTCCTTGCCATCTCTGTCCGTGCTTCCTGTCTGTCTGCCCATCTGCACGTCTGTTGAGTGGAGGGGCCTTGGCTCACACGGTCGCACTCGGTCTGTCCTTCCAGCCAACTCCACAGCTCTGGCCATGTCCTGTCCTGGGCCGCGCCCTGTTCCCCTCCCGGGCCAGCCAGGCCTGTGTGACCCTCTTTGCCCTCCCTCCCTTGGGACTCCTCCCCCTCCGCCCCTGGGGGTGGCCTCTCTCTCCTCTCTTCCTCGGCCCCTTCTTGCCACGGCCATCTGTCCCCTCCTTCCCTTCTCCGGAGCCCAGCAGTGGCCGGTAAGTACAGTGGGAGAGACGCCACCCCTGCTGCTGTGGGCTCCATGGGGTGCAGGTGCAGCTGGCCGGGGAGCAGCAGTGCCTCCACCCCTCACGCTGCTGGGCCAGGGGCGGGCGGCAGGGCTCCCCATGTCCCACGTGGCCAGCAGAGTAGCAATCCCACTCCAGACCAAGGGGTAGTACCCGCTTCCAGAAGCCTCCAGCCCAAACCACTTCCTGCCATCCTTACCAAGAACTCCCCAAGGCCAGCACCTTCCTCTTAGAAGTCGGGGCGAGGGCATGGACGGCCTCTCCTTGGGACTTGCTCTGAAGGCAAGCAGGGCAAAGGCCACCCGAGAGCGCCCCTCGAGCAGAGGCAGCGCCGTGCCAGGTGCCCCCATCAGGCTCCAGGTGTCGGTAGCCCAGGAGGTTCTGGGCTCTCTGTTGTGCTCAGCGCTGTCCAGGAGCCGGGGGACCTTTCAGGGTGTTGGGGAGGACACGCGGCACCCGCTCTAGTCCTGTGCTTCCAAGTCCCCCGAGCTGCATGTGCCCACGCACTTCTGCTGCTTGCGGGCCCAGGAGGCCTGACACTGCCCGCACCCTGCACCCTGCACCCTGCACTGTCGGGCCGCGCCAAGTTCCTGCTGTCTCCTCCCTGCTCACAGCCGTTTCTGCTCCGCCTCTCCCCCATCATAGCCATTTCACCCATGATCCTCCTGGCCCCTCACAGCTGCTACCTGCTTTCCCACCTGTGGGCTCCAGCGGCTGAGTCCCTTCCAAGGGGACACACAGACACATCGCAGCCTTCCCCAAGCCGCTCCAGCTTCTCCCTGTCACACCTGTGCTGTGGCCCCGTGAGACGGGCCACAGGCGCCCCCTGGGGGCCTTCCGCTCTGATTAACCGTGCCAGCAAGCGATCAGAGGCATTGCTTTATTGCATCCACTGGGAGGGACCAGGCCTGGTCAGGGGAGCCCCACAGTCAGAGAGGAGCACGGGCCGCAGGCAAAGCCCCGGCATGGAAGGAGCTTGGCAAAGTGGAAATGGTGTTCATTTCTGCAGTCTGCTGCAGCCATTGAGTTGAGGCCCAATCTCCCTGCTGGGGTTTCTGGGAGCGATATGGCAGTTCCCCTGCCCCGAGACAAGCACCTGGGAAGCAGCCTAGGGCAAGGCACAGGCCCGGTGACCCCAGCCTCTCTGCCAGTGCACCCAGGCACACGCACACAAGCCCACGTGTCTAGTGTCTGGCTTTGGGTTCGATGTAGCTTGTGGTGTCATTTCTCCCGGTCCAAGCACGTGACATCCCAGGGTGGGGGAGCCTTCTGCTCACTGTCCCCACCCCTCCCTGACTTGGCTTCTCCTTGATGTGTCGCATCGTAGTCACAGGTTCTTGAGGACACCTTTCTGGGTGGTTTTCAAGTCGTGGGAGCTGAGAGCTCCCAAGGAATGTTCTAGACTAGTAGTTGGTGGCAAGGCAGGGAGGAAGCCCGAGCAGGTGAGACTGAGCTGAGAGGCAGGGGGTGGGGGTGGAAGCGGCACCTGGCGCCGGAGCCTGGCCTCTGACTGCTGTCTCCATTTCCTGTCCCCATTCTTTCTCCGCTGCCCTTTGCTTGCCTCCTGCTTCAGCCTCCCTCCTCCAGCCCCACCCCACTCCACCTGCACCACAGGCCCCAGCACTTGGAGGCCTAGGCAAGGCACAGGGCAGCCATTCCAGCAGCGTCTGTCCCCACCTCTGTGCAAGGACACAGAGGAGAGAGTAATGGGCGTGTGGCGAACATTTCGGGGGCGAAGTGCTGTGAGCGAAGGGAGCCGGGCAGGTGCAGGGATACTGGTGAGACAGGGATACTGGCGCGCTGAGAAGATGGGTGGGCTGGGGGGTGGGGTCAAAGGTGGCAGCAGCGAGGGAAGGGGTGAAGAGGTTGGCGTGGGGTTCAGGGCCTGTTGGGCCTGAGCCCCAGGTGAGATGTCCAACCACGTTCGAGGATGAGGCGCACAAGGCCCTGGGCAGGTGGGAGCCCCACCCCAGCGGGAGGCACTTCTGGGGGCAGCAGTGGTCGGGGACGGTGGGAGGCATCCAAGCAAATGAAGTCACAGAGACGGAGCAGAGAAGCAGGGCGGCGGCTCCCGCAGAGGCCCCACCCTCTTGGTCCTCGAGACATCCTAGCCAGAGCTGTGAGCGCACCTCCCCTCCCTGGACGCCGCTTCCGTGTCTTCAATAGCTCTGCTGGCCCTCCACAGGCAGGCAGCTAGCTGGCACAGGGAGCGGGGGCGCTGGCTACGCATACCCACGCGGATGGGGTGCCAGTGGCGCTGTTGGCGTCCAGGCGGCCTGATGGGCTGGGCATGGCCACGCCGGGCTTGAGGGTGCTGAGGTCCCCTTCGGGAGACGCAGAGGCTGATCCAGAGGGGAGAAGCTGGGGGCTCTGGGGGAAGCCACAGCCCTCCACTCGGCCTCGGTGGCACCCGGCTGGCTTCCCTGGGCGGGAAGACATGGAAAGCCAGGGCCGTGGACGTATCCGTGAGCGCCCTTGGCTCCAGCTCAGCCTCCAGCCGGGCCTGCCCGAGAAGCCTTTGCTGCTGTTCCCTGAATTCCTTGCCCAGGAAGGAAGTGTGCCCTGCAGCACAAGGTACGTGCAGAGGCCCTGGCCCATGGCCTAGGCCAAGAGCCGAGTGCAGGGAACACAGAGCCTGAGCAAGCTGACTCACCAGCAGTGGGGGCGCTCACGGCGCGGGGATGCCAGCCGGGCTCGGGGCCCTGAGCTGCAGCAGCTGGAGCACGGTGGCCGTGCCACCCGCAGGCAGTCCGCTCGTTCACTGGTGCATTCCCCAGGTGTTGGCGGAAGGACTGTTCTGTGCCAGGCAGGCTGCACCCGGGCCGAGCACCGGCAGGAGCCCGCGGGGGCCAGCCCAGTGCTGGGGGAGAAGGGCTGGCCCCGTGGCCTTGCCTGCCCTTCACAGGGAATAGCTTTGAAGTTCAGCCAGGTGCAGGGGCCTGGCCTGGCCATTTGGCCCAGATCCAAATGAGGTGACCCAGTCAGCAAGGAGCAGGGTGTGGCCAAGCGAGGCCTAAAGACTGAGGCAACAGAGGCCTTGGCTGACGAAAAGGGAAGCTGGTTGCCTCCCATTAGAAAGGCCAAGTTCACTGTCAGTTTCTGCATCAGAAGGCAGTCTGGGGACAGAGGCCCAAGGGAGACTTTCTGAGCGCTGCACTTGGTCTCGACCCCAAAGGCACCATAAGTAGCACAGAGAATGGTGCGCAAGGCTGTGTGTCCATGAAACTTTATTGAGAGACAGAGGGCCAAAGTTAGTTCTCAGGCCACGGCATGCTGACGGCTTCTAGAAGCAGTATGGAACGCCGGCACCGCGGCTCACTAGGCTAATCCTCCGCCTTGTGGCGCCGGCACACCGGGTTCTAGTCCCGGTCGGGGCGCGGGATTCTGTCCTGGTTGCCCCTCTTCCAGGCCAGCTCTCTGCTGTGGCCAGGGAGTGCAGTGGAGGATAGCCCAAGTGCTTGGGCCCTGCACCCGCATGGGAGACCAGGATAAGTACCTGGCTCCTGCCATCGGATCAGCGCGGTACGCCAGCTGCCGCGGCCATTGGAGGGTGAATCAACAGCAAAGGAAGACCTTTCTCTCTGTCTCTCTCTCTCTCACTGTCCACTCTGTCAAAAAAAAAAAAAGAAGAAGAAGAAGAAGAAGAAGCAGTATGGAGCCCAGGCTGGGGGACTGGCAGGGGAGTGGGTGGGGAGCAAAGAGAGGCAGTACTCGGTGTTTTTGTTTTTGTTTTTGTGTTTTTTGCCAGGCAGAGTTAGACAGTGAGAGAGCTATAGACAGTGAGAGAGCTATAGACAGTGAGAGAGAGACAGAGAGAAAGGTCTTCCTTCCGTTGGTTCATTCCCTAGTGGCCGCTACGGCTGGCACTGCGCCGATCCGAAGCCAGGAGCCAGGTACTTCCCCCTGGTCTCCCATGGGGTGCAGGGCCCAAGCACTTGGGCCATCCTCCACTGCACTCCTGGGCCAGAGCAGAGAGCTGGCTTGGAAGAGGAGCAGCCGGGACTAGTACCCGGCGCCCCAACTGGGACTAGAACCCAGGGTGCTGGCGCTACAGGCGGAGGATTAGCTTAGTGAGCCACGGCACCGGCCTATACTCGGTGGTTTGTAACCGCGATGAAACTCGGGTGCCTGTCTAAGTGGAGGTGCGGCAGCCATTGGAAGGAGGGGTCATTGCTGCTGTGTCGGACAAGTCCGGGGCTTGGCGGGGAGCTCTTCCTTGTGGGCAGTTTGCTAGCCTGAGGTCTAGAAATGTGATGGAGACGGCCAATGTAAAAAACCCTGGGCCCAGCGAGAATATGGCAAACCCCATGGACGTGCGCTTGCAGGAGAGGGCTGGCTGAAGGAGGCCGAGGACTCAGGTGGGGCACGGGAGCAGAAAGAAGACCACAGGGCACCGGCATGGGACAGTCTCAGCAGATGCCAGCTGTGGCGGTTTTCAGGAGCATTTTCAGTGTCGGCCTCCAGGGGGCACTGTGCCACCGGTCAGTGCCCTGGCCAAGGCAGAAAGGTCCGGACAGAGAGGAGAGGAAGAAGCCAGGCAGGAGATGGGAGCAGAGCAGGAAGACCAGCAACGCGTCTCTCTTTCCCAAAGGTTCTTCACTGTGGCTGTCCAGCAAGGAAAAGTAGCAGGCCCACTCCCCAGTGCTCTCCCTTTTCCAAACTGTCTTTCTTTTAGACCAGAATGGGAGGCGGGCTGAGTCGTGACCCCAGGGAGCACATAAGGCGGCCCTGCCCCCAGAGCGAGGAGCAGGGAGGCAGCCGCCCAGAGTCTAGGGCGGCACCTCTTGGGTTCCAGATTTCCTGCCTGGGGGCGGGGGTGTCAGCAGACAAGTCCAAGGCCAGGCAGAGCCACCCTGTGCCCCACGACCCGGCAGTGGAGTATTTATCACGTGAGGACCCGGGCCATTGACGTGGGCAGACCCGCCAGCAGCAGCCAGCCACTGATCACGTCTCCTCTCCTCTTGTCCCCCCTTCCCCCTCCACTGCCCTCCTCTCCTCTCCTGTCCCCCCTCCTGCTCCCACCTCGGGCCCCTGTCCCTCCACCTCCTACTGCAGATCCGGGTGGTGAAAGCATTCCGTAGCTCGCTCTATGAAGGCCTGGAGAAACCGGAATCCAAGAGCTCCATCCATAATTTCATGGCAACGCCCGAGTTTCTGATCAACGACTACACCCACAACATCCCACTCATCGATGACACGGATGTGGATGAGAACGAGGAGCGCCTGCGGGCCCCGCCGCCCCTGTCCCCGAACCAGAACAACAACGCCATCGACAGCGGCATCTACCTGACCACGCATGTCACCAAGTCAGCTACCTCTTCAGCATTCTCTTCCAGCCCCGGGAGCCCGCTCCACAGCGTGGAGACGTCCCTCTAACCGGAACTGTCGTCGGCACACGCACACGCACACACTTGGACTCACGGAGTCACGCGCGCACACGCACGCACGCGCACACACACATGGGAGCCCGCACACCTGCGGAGAGGTGGCTGAGCCACGTCCATTCGAGAAGGGTGCAGCCTGCCACAGGCCTCTGCTTGGGACCGAGGAAGAGGAGGGGGAGGCTCTTCATCCAAGGCAGAATGAGGAAAAGAAAGGCAGGGAGTGGAATAGGTGCGTCCGCCACCTTTCTTTCTACCGATGCTTCTTTTTTAACGAAAACTACAATTCTACCATGTGTTCGCCACATGGGCTGTGCAGGCAGCGGGAGGGCTGCTGCGGGTTTTCGGGGAAGCAATGCGATCAAACATTTTCCTCCCCGCGAAAGGCAGGTGCTCCGGGCTAGAGAGCGCCCTCTACCCCGCCCTGGGGGAGCTGCAGTCGGCAAGGGTGCGCGTGTGTGCATCTGTGTGTGTGTGTATGACATGATGCATATTTACAGAATAAGGAACTATTTAGTGGCATGATCTTTCCATTCCTCTTCGCAGGCGTTTTCACTTTGAAATGTCATTACTGAATGTAGGGCGCTTGTTCAGGGAAGCAGTCTGTGTGTCCCGATTCCTTGTGCCCCTCAGAAGCCCTCATCCATTGCCAGTCCCAAGGAGACCCCTGCCTGTAGAGGACACAACCCTTTTGATGGAATTTTTTTAATTTAAAAGGAAAATACCAAAGCACTGGTGAGAATGGTCCCCTTCAGGAGGTGGCAGGGTGCATTTTCGTCTCAGCTTCCTTCGCTTTTCCACTGCAAGCCCTCCCCCCTGCCTGGTGCCTCTCTTTGTCCGCAAGAGCATGAAGCGCTGTGTGCAAGGTGCGGATGCGGTGGGCAGACCTGGCAGAGCGCGGAGCCAGGCGGCCCCAGTGCCAGGCGCGAAGGGCAACGCGGTGGCCACGGGTGCCGCAGAAAGCGGCCGAGGGGCAGGGCCCGTGCATCCTCCATCAGCCCCGGCGCCTCCGACTGCACTCCCACCCTGTGCTGCGCCACCTCAGTGTCGTCCGCGGCACAGGCAAAGGACGAGGCACGGATCTGTGTCCGCCGCCACTTTCCGACGCCATCGGGGAATCCAGTGCGGAAGCTCAGTGCCCTGGAGCACTCTGTCGCGGGCACACTTAGGACTCCTGCTCCTGGCACCGTGGGCACCCAGCGCAACAAGCCAGTTCACCCTGCATGAACGATGCCCTGGGAGGGAAATGAAGAGAAGGCCAGCCTTCCTCGCGCCCCGGAGTTCCAAGGATGGACGCCCATAGTGACGCCGGTGAGACGGGCAGTGCAGCTTCCATCTATCCCCGGGGCCTAGGGCTCAGCTGCCAGGAGGCGCTAGCCGGGGGACATAGGATGGGAATGGGGCAGGGCAGATGGGCGCCCTTAGCAGCTGAGCCCACCCCAGCCGCACCTGAGCCAGTGGCATCCACACGAGCGCCCACCGCTATCACGGACGCCTTGTCCCCCCTCCCCGCCCCCCCTGAGCAGGCCCAGCCAGATCTCCGGCCAAGGAATTTCGGTGAGAAACGAAAATCCCACTTTCCAGATGCCAGCTACAGATCACTTAAAAGCCATCCCTTTTTTTCTAAAGGGCACATTGAGAATGTTACCCATTTGTAAATCGTTCCCAGACGTCCTTGTGTCAACAACAGCAAAAAGGGCAACTCAATGTGTCGAGGGTCTCTGGCCGCATGGGAAGGGAATGTGACGAGCTGTGCGCGCTCCACTACCGGCTGCTTTTCCACGCTCTGCCGCACACGTACCGACAGAGCCCACGGCCGATGCATCCCGCACAGCAAACCCGCACTGCTGCTGTACAAACTTGCCTACTGTACGTGTCGATTGTTTTGTCCCTAGGTTGCCTTTGTGCTGGGGTGTGGGGTTCAGCAAAGGGGCGCTGTGGACTCGGATCTTTTGCTCTGGTTTTGGTACTGTCTTCAGGCCGAGGGACCTGCCTCGCGGGGAAGCCCCTCTCTCTACCGCGTTCTATTACACGGAATGGCTTGGCCAACTGTGTTCAGTTAATAAATATGTTTTACATTTTTATCTGCCTGTTAGAAAGATGAACAAAAACGATCTTCATGACGAAGACCGCCGATGCATAATAATTTTAAGTCTGTAGTTGAATTTCCTAAGCTAAAGAATAGACCCAAATTTCTGTGTATAAAAAAAAAAAAGAAAAGAAAAGAAAAGAAAGGCTCCTGCACTCCTGGCCTGGATCACGTGTGTGATTTATTCCTGGCTGAATTCTCGTCGGAACCAAACAGAGGTGTCTTTGGGTCATCTCCGCCAGGGGCCCGCAGCGGCCCTGCCAGGGGAAGGGCTGTGAGGACCAGCCACGCGCATGCTCACGTGAGCCAGGGAGGGGGTCCTGCCCTTCCTCAGCCCAACAGCGCAGAGGCATTCGGCAGTCACGCCCATGGGCGCTGTCTGTCTCCAGAACGCGGTTTCTCCTCCCAAGTGAAAGTCTGCCTGCCCACAGCACCAGCTCGCAGCCCCTGGCCCCAGCTTGCTGCTGTGTGTCTCTGTGAGCGCCACTCCTCTAGGAACCCCTGGGAGTGGACTCCCATGTGACTTGTCCCGCTGTGCCTGGCTGGTCTCATTGTGCCACTGTCCGCAGAGCGCCCCCTGCCGTGCACTCCTTGCTGGAGGGCTGCGTGGTCCACCTCCACCTTGTGGCTGATAGGAACCATGATGCTAGGAACACGCGTTCCAATCACAGCCTTCCTCTTTCCCACAAGCCCCCGGTCCCCTCCACTTTCCGCACATGCCCCATTCTCCTCCTGCTGACCCCTAGTGTGTGGCCATCAGCAATCTGCTGCCGCCAGCTCTGGCCAGGAGGGGGCGGCAAGCTGGTTCTGGGCACGAGACTTGCCACGGAGCCCCAGAGCGGCTTGCTGGGAAACCCACGCCCCATTTCGTCACATTTCTATCACTCTGCCACACGGCAGCAGAGGGCCCAGTTTCCAGGGAAGCTGCCAAGAAAGGAAAAAAGTGGCTTCGAAGTTCCCTCCAACCACCACAGTCCATACTCCTAAAAGCAGGCAAAAAAAAAAAAAAAAAAAAAAAGGCAAAACACCAGCAGGCACATGGACACATAGCAGAGCACCCAGCTTATGGGTGCACGAGGACACCATGAACCATGGAGTTAAGGAAGCACAGGCCAAGTTCCTTGTGGAGACAGCTGGCACCTTAGAGGGAGGGCTCACAGGTCCCCCACAGGCAGGGTGAACTGGTGTCTCGCTTCTTTCTCCCAGCACACACACGGGTTCCCAAGGGGCGGTGGGGTCACTCCCTGTGGCTTCGCTCTCAGCTCTACCGGCAAGGCCTGCCACCAAGGCGTGGCCAGGGCCGCAGTCCCCTGGAGGCTCTAGGGCAGAACCTTCGCTCTGAGCTGGTTGGCGGCTGCACGGCTCCACTCGCCGCCTCCATGCTCATGTGGCTGTCTCCCGTGTCTGGCTTCTTGGGGTGTTCTCCCTCTCTGGCCCTTTTCCTCTAAGCATACCCATGATCAGATTAGGGCCCACCCCAATGAGCTCATGTCACCGGGACTCCATCTGCAAAGGACCCTGTTTCCAAACACGCTCACGTTCATGGGTTCCGGGGGAGGACGTGGCCCTCCTCTTCCTTCCACCACGTCCGTAGGGCAAGCAAGGCTCGGCCGCTTACCATGTTCCAGTAATTACCACGGGCTCTGGACACGAAGCTCCTAAGAAGCTTCAGGCTGGAGAAAAGTTTATCTCAATCTCTCCCCACTGACCTTTTATCCCAGAAGTAAAGGAGCCAATGGAATAGGAAGCGCACACCCAGAAGCCACCGCAGAGAGGCCCCAAGGCACTGGCAAAGCGGTGATGCCGCAGAGGCCAGGGAATAAACGTGGAGCAAAAGCCCGAGTCCCCGCCAGTGTGGCAGGCAGATGGAAGGGCGCTAGTACAGCACTGGCTCAACATGCTGTTTACACAGTGGGAAACTGAGGCCCAGGGACAGAGAGGAACTTGCCTGATCTTCAGTCATCCTAAAAGGAGACGTTCTGGGGCCTGGGGGCGGGACTTGGCAGGGGAACAGGGAGCAGACCGCGACAGCACCCCCACTGTCATCCCTGCCTCCCCAAGGTGCAGGGCTCTACTTCCTGCCAGCTCGCTGCCTTTTGCACAAACTCACATCAAGCGTGCACCATGGAGGCTGAGGCCAGAGGAGACCCAAAGGAATTGTTGGGGAGCGAAGACAGAGAATCCCAAAGTCCCACTCATGTCTGCAAGCAGCCAGGCCAATGGCAGAGCTCCCTCATTGCCAAGATGAGGCATGGGGGCAGAAACCGCAGGCTGGAGAGCGCCGCGGCCCTTGCAGGCTGCTGCCTGGCCTCGCCCTGCAATGGGGCTGCCAGGGCTGCCCTCCAAGGTGCCCACTGAGCTGGTGGACACATGCAGAAAGAACACAGTGGAAAGCTGGGACTCCGGGAGCAGGGGGCCCGGAAAAGAGGTGCCGTGAGCCCAGTCTGGAGCCACCTCTCATCCAAGTGCAAAGAACAGGAACAACACGTGCACACAGAGCTCAGCGGCCTGGGGGTGATGGCAGGGAGAAGCAGAGACCCAGACGCCGCCCACGGTGAGTGGGGCCTGGGACAAGCAGCTCGCACGCCAGGCCCCAGGCACAACCCCAGCGGGTGGGGAGCCACGGACGCTGGCGGAGTTTCTCTGTGCTGCCCGTCGGCGCTGCTTCCCTGTAGCTGAACGTCCTGGCTTCGTGCTTCCAGCTGCAAGGTGCTCCGTTCCAGCCAAGGGCCATATCCTCCCCAGAGTGCACGTTCACCCCGCCCCCACGCAGGCTGGCCGCCTCGCCCCACTGGTGCTCGCGGGCTGCCCTGGGAACGCCTTTCCAGGGCAATCACGTGTCTGACCATAGCCCGCGGGCTGCACAGCAAGGACAAGGGGTTCCCACGGATTTGCATCACCTTTTATTACACAAAATAAAACGCCATCTCCGGTGCCCGTTCACGCTTTCTCTAAAAAACCCCGGGAAGAGCAGTCCTGTCTGTTCGTTCAGTTCCTGTGGCGCATGTCATGCCTCAACGGCAGCTGGAGTCCTCGCTGAGGACAGAAGCAGGCGCGGCCACTCGCGCCCGCCACACACTGTGGCTCCCGGCCTGCCCGCTGGAGGAAGGGCTCGCGTCATCACCTGGGCCGCGGCTGCTGGGGACAGAGCGGGGGCAGCAGCCCCTCTGCAGCAGCACGGCCAGTCATCCCAGCTGGTCCCCTGGGGCCTGGCCGTCCCCGCGACGTGGTGGCACCGCCCCAGCCAGCCAGCCATCCTGGGCTTCTCTTTGGGCAGGCCTGGGCCAGGGCCTTAGGGGATCTCTGTGTCCATGGAATAAATCTGAATGAGATCAGACACAATGTGATCAATGATTGGCTTGGTAAGGTCGTCACTAAACACCTAGAAAGCAGAAGGAAAACAAGCTGCGATTAGACTCCCTCCGGCTGAGCACGCTCGGCACTTCCTGGGGTGGGGACCCGAGGACACAGCTCGCAGGGGTGGTGGCTCCTGTGCAGAGCCAAAAACCTGCCACACGGAAGAGGCCAGGGTGACCAGCTGACCCAGACAGGAGCGGGTCACCCAGGGGGTCGGTGGCAGCTGGGCCCAGAGCAGGCAGGCGTCTCACCTGCAGAGGGAGGCTGGGCAGCCTGCACCTGGGCAGCTGAGACCAGGAGCACAGGAACACTCAGCAGGCCGCCAGGCAGACCTGCGGGAGCACCGTGCGGTGCACTTCACGTGACGGCAATGTCACCATGATCTTAAAAAAGCAATCAGTCCACGACGCGTGACAACCCTGGGCCACCAGCAACAGAAGGGACACACTCCCCAGAGGAGACGCCGTCAGCCTCTGGGAACAAGAGAGCCGAGCGGCTCGACCCCGCCCGTCTGGGGACACGAATCCCTGTGCACAGGTGGGGCATCTTGAGGGACAGACGGGAGCAGTGGCTGCAAGTCAGCAAGAGGCCCAGCGAGCGCCGGGTGCGGCATCGCGAACCCTGCGGCTGTCCCCCACTCGGCCCTGAGAGTCAGGGCCTCGCCCAGGGGGCTGGCACACAGCCTCAGCGCGGCCACCCTCAGGCACCAGCGGCTCCGCACAAGGAAGTGCCTGGAGCTCTAGGGCTGAGCCCAGGGCACGCGAGGGGCAGCAAGGCCAGTGACCGGCAGGAGCGGGCTGCACTCTGCACTCCACAGGGGCCACCAGCTGTGCTCCCTGACGCCCGCCAGGGGTCCAGGCATGCCCAGTGCTAGCAGCTCCGAGCCGCCAGAGGGCTGCTCCTGGCGCAGAGGTGGGGCTGGCCAGCAGGACAGTCTACGAGGAGGCAAAGGAAGAAAGCGGTGCAGGAGAGTCACCGCCGGCCAGCAGCGACAAGGGGTGACTCGGTGGGTGCAAGCCGTCCAAGGGACCGGGAGTCCGCAGAGAGCAGCCCCTCATCTGGAAGTGCCGCAGAAGCCCGAGCGCGGCCCGATGCTTCCTGTCCACAGATGCCCTGGCAGCCCCGGGCCAACGCTGCGGCTGCCCCCGGCCTGCCGAGGGGCGTCTGCTGCGTCTGTCGGAAGACCTGTGTGTTCTTCCTACACGCCAGCTCTGGGCGCCTCCGGCCCTGCGGTGGGAGGGCGCGGAGTGGAGACGCACGACAGAAGTCAGCACCAGCACCGCCTGTGGCCTCCAGTGGCACGCACGCACGCACGCACGGCAGGGCAGGGCAGGGCCACAGCACCCGCCACCCGCGTACCTCTTGCAAGGGACAGATTTAAGGCGCAGCCTACAAACGGCGCTTCCGCTCAGTCAGGCTGAGTGAGGCAGGCAATCCACCCGTCATCTACCACGCAGGGCAGGCCCCGGCCCAGCGCATCCAGCGCTACGGTGGCAGGCTTGTGCAGCATCACCAGTCCCAGGGCACCCTCAGCTTTGTTCACGGGGAACGGATAAAAAGAAAGTGGTGAGCAGCCAGGGCCAGACGCCAGCCAGGACCGGGGCCACAGGGCGGCGCGGCGGACAGCCCCCTCACCTGCCACCACGGCTTCTCGGCCTCCGCCTCGGCGGGCACCTCCACGCCATAGATGTGCAGGGCCAGGTAGAGCACGGCCACGGCCAGGTGCTGCGCCGGGAAGCGGAGGCACAGCCCTCCGTGGTAGCTGTCCCGCAGCAGGGCCCAGGCCGTGACGGAGACG